GTGAAGTCAAGGGCTGTGGAGATTCCCACTTCTCCAGCCGCAGCAGCCGGGAGCACAGGAGCTTCCGGAAGCTTCTGTGTGGCATCACCTCAGGGCCCACATGACCCGTCCTCACAGACCTCTGTCCTCCGATACCATCTCCCGGCCACGCCAACCTCGCCAGAGCCCAGGACCTTCAGTCACACAAGTCGCCACACCCACCAAAAGCCAGTTTTGAACGTGAGTCTGAGAAGGGCCACGGGGCTGACCTGAGTGCGTCCTTGCCTCCCCAGCAGGGCCCCCCCTCAGGACGGCCACCCCCACACAGGACACGAGCGTCCTCGCCTCGCTCCTCAGAACAGGCTCCCGGAGCGTCGGACCCGTCACCCGGGCGCTGGTGAACCAGGACTTGCCCCCACCCCCCCATTCCAGCAAAGCCGCCAGCCCCGGAGCAGCGGACCCGGGAACCGGCTCTTGCAGCAGCAGGAGGATTCTGGGCACCCGAGTCCCCGAGAAGCGGGGACACCAGGCGCCCAGCTGGTGCCGGATCCCTGGCGGGCGCGGCACTCCAGGCCCTCAGCCGCTTAGCTCCACGTGCCCGGTCTCTTGCTCCGCAGCCGCCCGCCGTGCCCTGGGCGGCACACGGCAGCGACGTGCTGGCTCCCGTCACCCGGACCAGGGGCGGCGCAGCCCCGCCGGGCAGGGAGGGCTGGGAGTTTCCTGGGGCGGCCGTGACATGACACCACGGATGGGGCAGCTTAAATCACAGACCATCACTGTCCCCGTCCTGGTGGCCGCAGCCCGAGGTCCGGGCGGGGGCAGGGCAGGGCCGGGCCCCCCGAGGCCTCTCTCCTGCGTGTGGACGGCCGTGCTCCCTGTGTGCCCTCACGGGGCCGTCCCTCCGTGCGTGTCTGTGTCCTGATCCCTCTTCTCACGAGGACCCCGGTCACACGGGATCAGCCCCCTCCGGTGACCCCACGTCACCCTAACCACCTCTTTAGAGGCCGTCTCTCTAAAGCAGCCACACTGGCAGGCCCCAGGGGGCAGGGTGGTGAAAGAACCTTTCAACCCAAACCGAGGAACCTGCGTGCACACGCCAAGCCTTCCACCACCCGCAACGGCCAGGCCCCGAGCCCCCGGTGGGCCCCCCCCCCAGTCACAGGCAGGTCATCCCGCGGGCACTCAGCAACCCTGAGGCACCCCACGTCTGTCTCCCCAGGACAGCCCCCCAGCCCTCGCCCAGCCCCCGTGTCACCCTGGGCATGTTAAGGTCCCGGTGGTGGGGCAGCAAAGGGGTCCCTGCTACCCCCACACGTGCAGGCAGAGCCCACAGGGACCACCGATTCAGGGCCAGGCCCAGGGGGACGTTCTCTCGCATCTGAGCGACGCTGCCGGGAGCCCATCGTGGCTGCCACACAGGAGGGTGCACGGAAGGCCAAGGAGCCTGGCATGGGCAGCGCTCGGACGCGAGGCCCTGACCATGCCCTGACCACGCCCCTGCACTGCCTGGCCAGTCCCGCGTCGCAAGCCCTGTGGCCTCCCGGCCCCCGGACCTTGGCATGTGCTCAGCGCTCCTTCTGGCCCAGGCTCTAAATTCATCTGCCCCCGGACAGTCCCTCTTCTCCTCCCACCTTCCTCGCGGCCTCGAGGTCTCCCCTCCGTGTCAGCCTCATGGCCCGTGGTCCCCCGCTGAGCCGGGCCAGACCAGAGGGCCAGGCCCCAGGGAAGAGGACTCGGGGAAAGGCACTGAAAGGAATCCCAGCTTCACCAAGCGCGGGGCCAGAGGATCGCGTGGAGGGGCTCAAAGGGTCTGGAGGAAGAAGCCCCACAGTTGTCCGCACCCCGCCTGCCACGCGGCCCAAGGAGCCACCAGGCCGACTTGTGGCACGTCAGTGATTAACACACGCTCGCTGTGAGGGCCTGCGAAGCCCCCTTGGGAGCCCAGGAGAGGCAGGGGGCGGGGGGACGGGGACAGGAGCGCCCCAGGGCCCGCCCCCACACCTCTCAGCCGCAGGTGATCTCAGGCACCAGGGCGGCCAGCCGACGCTGCCCGCTGGGGGCGCTGCGCACCTGCCCGGCCGGGAGCTGGCTGCCCGGGATCAGGCGGCCACCAGCCGGGCGCTGGGAGGGCGGGAGGCGGGATGAGGAGCATCCGGGACAGGAGGAGAGTCTGCGCAGGTCATCCTGCAGCTCCGGAGAGCTGGAGGGGAGAGGGGAGAGGGGAGAGGGGAGGGGAGGGGAGGAGGGAGGGGGCAAGAGCGGGGAGAGGGGAGGCGGGGTTCCTGGGGGCGCCCGGCACTGGAAGCCGCTCACCCGTCAGGGGAAGGACGGAGGCGGCCCCTGGGGGTCTACAGGAGGGGGGGCCTAGCCCAGCACCCAGGGTGGGTTGCTAAGGGAACTGCTCCCCTACCCGGCCGCCGCCACTGTGCCCCACGGGCAGGGAAGCGGGACCCCCACACCTTCGGCAGACTGGCAGCCGCTGCACGGTGGGGATACAAAGGGCCTCAGGAGGCCGGGGGCCAGAGGGCAGGAAGCCCAAGTGGGCCGAGTCCTGCTCCGTGACCCCGGCGGCCGGGGCAGGCGGGGGGCACACAGGAAAGCCCGCCCTCCTCGAGGCCAGCCGAGCAGGGGTTCCCTGGAAGGGGGGGGACAGGATATCCCGGCCTGTGTGCCCCAGCTCGCGGGAACTGCGGGACAGCGGCTCCCACAAGCCCCCGGGGCCTCAGGCCTTCAAGGCCAGGAAACGAAGCCTCAGCAGGAGGCCTGCCCCTCCACCAGCCGCCCCGCAAGGCCAGGGCTCCCTCTGCCGCCATCCGGCCGCTTCCACGGCAGGGCCGCGCGCCCCTTTCACAAGGGCTGCGTCTGGGCTCCGGCCATGCAGCCACAGGCCGCTGCTGCAATCCCAGCTCAAAGGCCGGGTCCCCTCAGACCACCGGCCAGTCCAGAGTGTCCGGGGCCTACTCACCTCCTGGAGACATGGGGCGACGGAGGCAGCTTCCCAGGCCCCAGACAAGCCGCACGCCCTGGCCCCGGCCCGCACGGCGGTGGGGAGCTGCAGTGGAGGTCCTCCCCCAGGGCCGAGGCTCACGGCCTTCAGGGCGGGGCCTGGCGCAGGAAATGACTGACCCAAGGTCACCCGGCTACCCCAGGAGCAGCCCTTCCTGGCTCGCCCGCGGAGCAGCTGCTGCATCCCCAGAAGCCGGCCCTGCCTGCCAGCTCCTGGAGCGGCCGGGCAAAGGCGCTCTGCCGAGCACACTTCCGAGGGCTAAACAATCAGAATCAGGAAGAAAACACAAGTGTAAGCAGAGACTTCCTCTGGGGTGCGGCGAGCCCTCTTCCTCCACACGGCATGGCAGGGAGGCCGGGGGACGGGCACCCCCAGGCCTGTATCCCCAGGATGCGATTTGGGGGGGTCTTCTGGAGGCCCCTAGTTCCGGCAGCACTCCAGGGGCAGGGAGGCACCGCCACGCCGGCGGGCAGACCTCCAGGAGCGCCTTCCTGCCTTTGCTGGGAGCTGGCACGTGGGGCTCCGGGACGGAGGGGATGGCGGGGAGGGTCTCCTCCGGGGCCTGGCTGTGGGGTCCATCCCTCCCCTGGGCACCTCAGGTCAGGGCCAGAACCGTGGCACCCACAAGCCTGACCCACAGCCGGCGTCTGCCTCGTGGGGTCCCACGGGGTGGACGCACACGAACATCCCGAGCCCCAAGACAAGCCACTGCTGCCACCACAGGCAGGGCCACTCACTCTCTCCCATGGATCAGCCACAGTCGTGGTCCAGGCACCTCTGACACTTTGGGAAGTGGGGGCCGCGGTGAGGAAGAGGCTTCCCTTCTGTGGGGACGGCAGCCACCCAGGGACCAGCTGCACCCGCGGAGGAGCCAGCGTGCAAAGCAGAGGCTGCCACACCCCCACCCTGCCTCACCTTCCCGCCACGATGCTCCAAGCCAGCCAAGGCCTGGTGCCCGCTGCACCCCTGGGGCCCGACAGCCCCCGACCAGGACTCTCCCAGCCGCAGGCCAACCAGGCTGCTAAGATGGGCACCTGTCACTAGCAATAGGAAACCAGAGGGAGGCCAGCCCAGGGGCCCCCCAGCAGAGCACCCCAAGCCCCGTCATCAGGGTGGGGACGGAGAAGCAAAGGCCCACAGGCCAGAGGCTGGCACCGTACCAAGCAGCAGCGGGCTGAGCAGCCAGGAAGTAGGACCAAGGAATGGCCAGGGAGGGCTCCAGGCAGGCAGCGAGGAGGGTGGCCCTGAGGAGGGGACTTCCTTGTACCCCCACCCCTGAGGAAGGAGGGCCCTGCCCTACACAGGCACGCTGCAGCGCGAACCAGAACACCTGGCTAACCGCAGGGCCAGGTGCTGCCTGTAGGGCCCTGAGTTCCCTGGGTGCCCCGGGCCCACTCCTCCCCTCCCCTCCCCTCCAGGCTGCTTCACCAGCTTGCTTCTCCGAGGGGGTTTGGGCACTCCCCACGGCCACAGGGACCCCGTGCCACCTGCCGCCCGGGGGGCAGCCCTGCACCCCTGGCTGGGGAGACCCCCTACCCCCACCACCCGGGGACTGCCTTGAACTGGGAGGGTGTGAGATGCTGCTGGGCCTGCAGGGGTTGGGACCTCCCCCGTTGGGGGCTCCTGAGTCTTGGGTCCCAGCCACCCTGAGGAATTCTCTCTTCTGCACCCAAGGGCAAGCTCCCCTGGCACACGGTCTTTCCCAGAAGGATTAACACCTGGACCGCCCTTCCAGGGAGGCGCGGAGCCAACTTCTGGGCTGGGGCCACCTCCCCCCACACGCCTGGGCAGAGCCAGCAGGAAGCTTCACCCCGCAGGGTCAGACCCACACGTCCCTGAACTCCAAGGGTCAGGCTCTGCAGAGTCCTGTTTTCCCCCATGAAGCCCTCCTTCCCCCCAGGCCACTCGGGGTCACAACTGGCACCGTCCCTGCAGCAGCAGGTGGCAGGAGACAGGGTCCCCCCGCAGCCCGCGGGGAGCCCCAGGTGCCCGCCGAGGCCGCCCTGATACTCACACGGCGAAGTGGTACACGAAGCACTTCCAGCCGGTGGGGCGCTCGAGGAAGTTGTAGACGCGGCCTTGGATGTGGGTGCGCGCGAGGAGCGGGCGGCGCGCGCTGTAGATGGAGACGCGCGGGTCGAGGCTCACGGCCGGCCGCGGGGCAAGGTCAGCGGCGGGCGGGGGCGCGGCCGGGGACGCGAGGGGCGCGGGCCCCGGGGCGCCAGGCGGCGCGATGGGTGCGTAGAGCGCGCCGCCCGCCGGGCCGCCCTCCGCCAGCTCCAAGGAGAAGGGACACTTCTTGGCCAGGCCCGTGCTGCCCCGCCGGGAGCCCGGCAGGCGGCCGCAGCCCCAGCGCTTCTTGTCTGGCCTGGGCGGGGAGGAGGCCGCGGCCATGGCCGGGCAGGGCCCGCGGGGCGCCGGGCGGGCGGGCGGGCGGCGCGGGGAGCTGCAGCCAGGGCGGGCGCCGGGGCGCAGTGGGGCGGCCGCTGGGGCCCGAAGCCCGCCGCGCCCGGGCGTGGGGGCGGGGCCGGAGGGGGTGGCGGCCTGGGGCTGGTCCCCGGGGACGGCGCGCCCCGCCCCCCGGCCAGACGCCCCGCCCGGGCCTTCGGCTCTCCGGGTCGCCGGGCCCAGCGCCTGGAACCGCTCGCGCGCTCGCTCCCTCCGGGTCCGCGCCCACCTGTCCCTCCCGCCCTTCCTCGCTCACCTGCTGCGCCGCCGCCTCCCGCGCTCCCCGGCGCTGCCCCGCTCGCGCCCACGTGCGCGCCCCGCCCCCCACGCCCACGTGCTGCGGGTAAGGCGCCCCGCTGAGCCGGGGCCGGCCCTGGGCGGCAGGTGCAGCCACCTCGGGTCGGGCACTTCACCAAAGAGAGGGCGGGGATACAGAGGTAAAGAGGGGCGCCCTAGGGCATGCTGGGACTGGCCCTCTTGGTGACCCGAGGGTCGCCTGTTAGCTCCTCCTGCAACACTTTGAGCCCGGCCGCCACCCACCCTCCTTTGCCCACGCTTTGGCTCTGAGTGGAGAAATATGCGGTGGTTCGGTGCCCACTGGGGCCGTCAGACCTGGGAGGCAGCCGGGGCTGGAGAGTCCGGGACCGGCCCAGTGGGAGCCCTGGGGGGGGGGGGGGCGGGGGAGGCTGCTGGAGGTGTCTGTCGGGGTGTAGGTGGCGTTTGACCGCTGGGCAGGTCAGGGCAGGGGGTTTTCAAGGTCCGTGCAGAATGGGTGGCTTGTCCGCCGCCGCCGCCCCGAGTGTCACTTACCCCGTGAGCTGCCCTGGGCGCGGTGGGTGCAGAGGTGGGACGGGATCGGGTTTGCCAGGTCCTCCACACCGCGCCTGGCATTTGGTTCCCTGCACGTTGGGGTGCAGAAGTGGAGGACGGAGGAGGGGAGGGAAAAATAGCCCAGGGCAGAGGGAGAACTGCCTGCTTGTCCTGCAGGGGGCAGGTAACTCCCCAGGTCTTCAGGGAGCACCCCAGGCCCACTTAGTTCACGTACCGGAAAACCAGCTCTTGGTGGATGCCGTGCAGTTCTGGCCCCTGCCCCTGACTCCCCACCCCTGCGGTGCTGCCCGCACACAGCCAGCAGTTTGTATTTGCAAAAAATGAATGAAGTGGATCCCAGCCTACGCCGGGCACTTCCGAGACTCCAGGCTGGCGTTAGGGAGCCTCTCTGGGAAGTAAGTACAATAGTTAGGCTACAGTCCGGCAGACAGCCAGAGGGCGGCGGAGAGTCGGCCTCCACAGGCCCCCAGGGGACAGGCCCGGGCACACAGCAGGCATTCAGTCAATCCTTTCTGAATGAACGCGTGAATGAATGAGCCCTGTCTGCGCATCCACCTCCCAAGCCGAAGGAGGAAGATGATTTTTTTTTTAATGTTTTTTTATTTATTTCTAGGAGAGAGAGAGAGACAGCGTGAGCAGGGGAGGGTCAGAGAGAGAGGGAGACACAGACTGAAATAGGCTCCAGGCTCTGAGCTGGCAGCCAGCACAGAGCCCGACGCGGGGCCCGAACCCACGAACCGCGAGATCATGACCTAAGCGAAAGTCGGACGCTTAACCGACTAAGCCACCCGGGCGCCCCAGGAAGATGATCTTTTAACAGGAGGCATTGGGCGAGTTGGGAGAGCCATCGAGGAGGGAGAAAAGCAAGTTTGGATCCAACTCACACACAACAGACAGGAATCGTTTTTGAATGGACCAGAGGCTTAAGTACAGAAGTTGAAGTGAAGTCACGTGGATTCTGTAAGAAAGTCTCGGGGAATTCCGCAACCACCTGTAAGCGAGGAAAACGTGTCCAATTGTGCTTGAAATCGAGACAATGCCTGCAATTAGCAAGGTCAAAAAGACAAACGAGGAGCTGGAAGGAGAATTTACGACTCACATCGCAGGTGAAGGACATCTGAGGCGGGACAGAGAATGACAGAGTCCGGAAAAGGGGGCCCAAGGCGGGAAAGGTTCACAGGAAAAGGGGTTCATGGTCTTTGCACTTAGGAAAAAATGACCAACGTCACTCGTGACAAGAAAAATACAAATGGAGAGCACATTCTGATACCACGGCTCACCTATCTGATTGGCAAAAGTCCAGACGTTTCATGGGGCGCACATTCCGCGGGCGCGGATCTTCCGGGGACAGGGGGCCCGGCCCTGAAGGCAACAGCACGTGGGCCCACTGGCCCCTTACACTAGTTCTGGATCCGGGAACTGGCCTAGAGACCCGGAGGGGAGTAGAAAATGGCGCGCCCATCGCTGCGCCGCGTGTACCAGCAAAGCCCCAGAAGCAACGACGCCCCCCGGTTGAGCTGTGCCGTGGCACGGCCACACAGTATCACCACCATCCGTGTTTTCACTAGCATGCAAAGGACAAAGGGGCCCAAACGCCACGTGGTTACTAACATGAGTAGTGTTACTTTGGGATTAGGCAGAGGATGTTAAATTCCTTAGGAACCGGGACTCTGAGCATAGAAAATAGAAGTATAGGGGTGCCTGGGTGGCTTAGTCGGTTAAGCGTCCGACTTTCGCTTGGGTCATGATCTCACGGTTCGTGGGTTCGAGCCCCGCGTCGGGCTCTGTGCTGACTGCCAGCTCAGAGCCTGGAGCCTATTTCAGTCTGTGACTCCCTCTCTCTCTGGCCCTCCCCTGCTCACGCTGTCTCTCTCTCTGTCTCCTAGAAATAAATAAACATTTTTTAAAAAAAAAGAAAGAAAATAGAAGTATAGCAATCCAGGAATTACAGATCAGTGCTTCGACTGGAATTGGGAATTCTGGCATAATTTGCTGTGCTATTTTATCTGAAAACAAAGTTACTTTCGAGCCCTCCCACTCAAGGGGGGGCCCATCAAGAGCAGGACAATTTGAGCACGAGGAAGAAGCATGGAGGGAAAGACGTCAAATGGCTCAAACATTAATTCATAGTGAGGCTGAAATAAGCCTCGAGGAGCCTGTGCTGGCAGCAGGGCCCTCTGCCCCGGAACCAAGTGCAGAAGGGACAGTGGTGTGCATGTCCCGCCCACCCCTTTCTGAACCGAACCTTAGGGGAGGCGCGGCCGGGTGCCGGAGGTGTGCGCCGCACTACTTCCTGATGCGATTGTGCCAGGTCGGGAGTCACTTTGAAGTAGTCGGCAGGGAGGGGTGGGGAGGCAGGGTAGAGATTAGACCCAACGGCCTCTGAATTGGCCATTGTTGAGCCGGCCGCCGATAAGGTCATGACACCACAAAGTTTACTTTTGTGTGTGTTTCCATGTTTTTTAAGTTATAACGCGGTGCCACCGAAGCAGCTGGAGAGGCTTCTTGGAGGGCCTGGGGCTCGAGGGCGGACATCGAGGGGCTGTGGGCATGCCCTGGGCCACGCAGGAGCCTGCATTGGGGGTCCTGGGTGGCGGCACGGGGACACTGGGGCCACGGGAGGCTGGCGGCCGGGCTGCCCAGAGCTCCCTGCACACCCCTCCTGGGGCAGGACCCAGGACCCAGGACCTTCCTTACGTGGGGCCCCAGGCCAGCCGCCGTAGGAGAAGCCTGGGCTTGCCAAAGACGCTTGGGTAAACTGAGGCTGGTGAAGGGGGGTGTGTGGCTGCTGCAAGGTCTGTGGCCCAGGGGGCACACGGCCAGAGGCTTCCCGGCTGGCGGCCTTCAGCTCCATCTTTGATCCAGCCTCACTGAGCACCGGGCACACCGTTCACGCAAGAGCCACGGAGCTGGGTGCAGGAGGCCCAGCCCCCTGGGGGACGGAGGTGAGCAGGCAGTGGACAGAGATGCAGGAGACAGGGAGGCCAGGGGAGGGGGAGGGGGAGGGCAGCTTGCTGAGGGTGACCCCCGGAGAGGGTCTGGAGGGGACACATCCAGAAAGACCCTTCCCAGGCCCTTCAGCTAATTTGAGAGGTATCTGCATACAGTAGGCACTTAGTGCAGAATGATGGATGGGGGGAGGGGCAGGGAGAAGGGGGAGCTGCCACCCCCTGTCTTCTCAAGCTAACCGGCGGGAGTCCCTGGGGCACGGCAGCGTCCTGGGGCTGTGGCTCTGCCCCGCGCAGCCCACACGCAGCCCCTCTCCACCCTGGCCGGCTGGCGGTTCGGGGCGCACCTGTGCACGTGCCTGTGCCGCCCGGCGGGCACCGCGCCCCCGAGGCAGGGTCCCCGGCTGGTGGACGCGGCAACTCCCCGTGGGACACAGATGCAGTGGGTCTAGGTAGGGCCCAGGAACCGGCATTTCGGTGGGTCCCCTTTGCCTGGCGGGGGACACTGAGGACCCCAAGTCTGGGCACGGCACCAGGACAGAGGTCAGGGGGAGTCCTTCCCCAGTTGCCCGCATCTGTCCCGCTCACGGGCCGTGTGAGTGTCCCTCCACAGAGGCGACCAGCTCCGGCCGTGCGCCCCGCCTGGTGAGCAGGAGGCCTTGCCTTGGTGGGTCTCACTCCCCGCCCCCCCGCTGGCCGGCTCACGGGCACCGGAGACGCGGGAGACAGACCCGCCCTGTCCCCCGCGCTCGCCGCCCGAGCTCACCGCCCCCTCCCTCCCGAGACACCTGGCTGGGGGCCATGTGTATGCACGTGCGTGAGTGCACGTATGTGCACGCGAGCATGCACAGCGTGTGTGCAAGCACATTGTGCACGTGGGCGTGCATATGTGTTCTACCTGCCTGTGTGCATGTAGGGCACACACATGTGTCTGTGAGCCCACAAGAGCCCTTCCGGGACCCCTTCAGGGGGGAAGAAGAGCCTGGAAGGGACACCGCCAGGGTCAGAGTTGGGGCAGGGAGCCCCCCACGCGGTCACTTGCTGGCTGGGCCCTGGTGGCAGTCACACACCCACACTCACCCCTCCCAGCCCAGGACACAGAGCCCTGCCTGGCGTCCCGTGGGCGAGGGGCCACCTCCCTGAGTGTTTTCTTTGGTCTGAGGTGAG